GTGTGTGTGTGTGTATGTGTGTGTGTGTGTGTGTGTGTGTGTGTGTGTGTGTGTGTGTGTGTATGTGTGTGTGTATATGTGTGTGTGTGTATGTGTGTGTGTGTATATGGGTGTGTATATGTATGTGTGTGTGTGTGTGTATGTATGTGTGTGTGTATATGTGTGTATATATTTATCAGTCTGGCGAGTAAACAAAAAAATGTACTAGCCAATGGCGATTCAATTGCCAAGGTGTTCGTAGAGGGCTGGAGACTGTAAAAAAAGGGGCACAAATCTGTGATGGATTTCTGGAGACAAAAGGCCACAATCCCTCGCCTGCTCATTCAGGCCTGAACGCAGTCTGGGAGGACGAAAGCTTTGATCTCAGCTCATCTGCAGGAGAAATGAACCACAATCCATCCTCCAGAGTAGCTCCATCACACACACGTGTGTCAGAGGAAGTTCAGACGGACAGACAGACGTGTTCTGATTAGAACCGGACCACAACAGAAGAACGGGGAGCAAATGCCTCTTAAAGTAATAGTTAATAAATAAAAAAAAACGATTGTGAGGACAAAAATAAATTGTGAGATATAAACTCACAATTGTGTGAAAAAAAGTGAATTGTGACAAACTCACGATTGTGGAAAAAAATCTGCATGGTGAGATATAAACACGATTGTGAGGGAAAAAATAAATTGTGAGATATAGACTCAAGATTGTGAGGAAAAAAAGTCTGAATTGTGAGAATACATTTGCAATTACTTTATTTTATTTTTTCTGTGACGGAAACAAGTTTGCACATCATGTTGTTCCAAACTTGTATGACTTTCTTGGAAGGCAAAGGGTTAAATTATATTAAAAAGTAACTGCTTCTTTTAAAATGATTTAGAAAAATCACATAAAAATCTGATTTGCACTCAAGCGTATTCCGTCTTTCAAATGTCACTTGTGTTTTGATTTGTTCATATGGCTTCATTATATCCTGCTAATCATCTCCTGTCGTGTTCCACTGAAGAAACCTGTCAAGTCAAGCCTGGCGGGACGTTTATTTTGGGGTGAATTATTGCTCTAAGTGTTGTTTCAGGTTCTGCTCGAGCTCATCACGGAGACTCGTTGGCTATCACAGCTACGATCACGTCTTCTCACTGATTGATTGAGAGAGGAGTCATCGCTGCTGTACATGAGTCTGAGCGATAGTGTGTGTTTTCCCTGGGCTCTCCGTCACAGACACAGAAGTAATGAGCGAGCGAGTGACTGAGTGGCTGTGTTTCTCGCCACAGTGAACGGCGGCTGGTCGACGTGGACGGAGTGGTCGGTGTGCAGCAGTCGCTGTGGGCGGGGCTATCAGAAGAGGACGCGCAGCTGCACCAATCCCGCGCCTCTGAACGGAGGAGCCATCTGTGAGGGTCAAGCCATCCAGAAACTGGCCTGCAACCCGCTCTGTCCAGGTACCACAGCGCTGCTGTTTTCTGCTGATAACAGAGTGCTGGCCGATGGCCGATAACGCTGATATAGTGTAATCAATTGATGCAATTTAAAATTGGACTAACAATTTATTTAAAAATAAATAAATAAATTCAATTTAATTAAATTTTCAAATAAATACAATTTAATAGCATCAATAAATACATTTAAGTGTTTAAATAATTATATCTTACAGTGTATCTCACACATTTTCAGTGTGTTCTCAGACTTATATTATAATTTATTATATTGCATATTTTGCATTTAACTTTTTTCAAGTTGTTATCATTATAATAATCTTAGTAATTAACAATTAGGTTTTGTTTTTAATGAATATGTTTAATAGGATAAATAAATCCTTATTTCAATAAAGTGGTCTCATACCTATATTATATTATATTATATTATATTATAAAATATTTTTCATGTGACTTTTTTCTTTACAAATTGTTATCAGCATACTTTGAGTAATTTATCATTTGAATTTGTAATCGTTATTTTTATTATTATTTAAATTTTTTAATCTTTAAAAAAATATGATTAAATATGATAAATAAATATTTATTTAAATTTTAAAAATCCCACATTTTTTAGTGTAGTCTCAAATATTATATTATATTATATTATATTATATTATATTATATTATATTATATTATATTATATTTTCCATTAATTATATTATATTATATTATATTATATTATATTATATTATATTATATTTTCCATTAAAGGTTGGTATGCATAATGGTTTGAATAATTTAGAGTTAGTATTTGTAAAATAAAAAAGATTTAATTGGGTATATAAATCTTTATTTAAAAAAAAAAATCTAAATTTTCAGTGCTGTCTCAAATATTGTATTGTATTATATCATATTATATTACATTATATTATATTAAATTATATTATAGCAACTAAGAATTAGATATTAGATAAGTTTTACTGTACTTATGATTAAATAATTTATATTTAATATGTAATTATATACACTACCGTTCAAAAGTTTGGGATCAGAACGATTTTGAATGTTTTTTACAGGAGGTTCTTCTGCTCATCAAGGCTGCATTTATTTGCAAAAAAATACAGGAAAAAATGTAATATTGTGAAATATTATTACGATGTAAAATAAAGTTTTTCGATTTTAATATACATTAAAATATAATTTATTTCTGTGATCAAAGCTGTATTTCCAGCATCATTACTCCAGTCTTCAGTGTCACATGATCTTCAGAAATCATTCTAATAAGTAAATTTTTATTCTTTCTTTTTTTGAAAGAAATTAAAACTTTTATTCAGCAAGGATGTATTAAATTGTTAAGAAGTGATAGCAAAAATGTATATTGTTAGAAAATATTTATATTTTGAATAAATGCTGTTCTTTTTAACTTTTTACTCGTCAAAGAATCCTGAAAAAAGTATCGCAGTTTCCAAAAAAAAAATATTGTGCAGCACAACTGTTGATAATTCTAATAATAAATAAGCTTATTAGAATGATTTCTGAAGATCATGTGACACTTTATACTGGAGTAATGATGATGTGTGTGTGTGTGTGTGTGTGTGTGTGTATATATATGTATATATATATGTTTTTATTTATTTATTTTTTTTTAATATATATATATTTTTTAATAAATATTTGAAATGTTTGAAGATTTAAAAATATTTGTAAAAGGCCGTGACCGTCATCCGTGCTGTGTTTGCTGCAGTGGACGGTCTGTGGACGCAGTGGAGCAAGTGGTCGACGTGTGGGACAGAGTGCACTCACTGGAGACGGCGCGAGTGCAGCGCTCCGGCCCCCAAAAACGGCGGCAAGGACTGCGAGGGAGCGGTGCTGCAGTCCAAGAACTGTACGGATGGGCTCTGTATGCAGAGTGAGTGCCGCCCTTCCTCATCCTCTTCCTCCTTATACAGGCCTTCTCACCATCCACAAATCCCATATCACTCCTCAGATACAGGTTCACCCTCTCCACCCATCATTCACTGAGAAAAATCTGTGCTTTTATTTCAGTTTCCAGTTAATATATCAAAACATCCTCAAAATGAGACCTGTTTTTAGAATGCTTTTGCATGTTTTAAGTGTAAACCTAACAAATATACTCAGTTTTATTATTAAAATTAGAAGAAATAATAGGATAAGAAAAATAAACTTCTCTGCGTTCTCTAAAAACAGGTCTCATCTTACATTTGTGACCCTGGACCACAAAACCAGTCATAAGGGTCAATTTTTTTACATTTTTACATCATCATCTGAATAAATAATCTTTCCATTGATGTATGGTTTGTTAGGATCGGACAATATTTGGCTGAGATACAACTATTTGAAAATCTGGAATCTGAGGGTGCAAAAAAATCTAAATATTGAGAAAATCATCTTTAAAGTTGTCCAAATGAAGTTCTTAGCAATGCATATTACTAATCAAACATTAAGTTTTGATTTATTTATGGTAGGAAATTAACAAGATATCTTCGTGGAACATGATCTTAATATCTTAATGATTTTTGGCATAAAAGAAAAACGGATAATTTTGACCCATACAATGTATTGTTGGCTATTGCTACAAATATACCCCAGCGACTTAAGACTGCTTTTGTGCTCCAGGGTCACGTATATTTAGTTGAGAAAGAAAGAAGTCTTGTTTTAGGGATGTTTCCATATTTTTATAGCCTGATGGAGAACGTGATGCTCGTATCCTCTGTTGTGGTCTGATGGATTGGATTGACGCCAGAGCATGTGAGCGGAGCGGAGTGTGAGCGGAGCGGGGAGCGGAGTGGTAATATTTCCTTAAGAGCGCCTTTCTGAAGATTCCGCTCCGCTCGCTCAATACGCTCAGCGCCACTCGCTCAACCCAGAATGCCGTTTGGTGCACACCGCTCTGCTTCGCTCACATGCTCTGATTGACGCAGATGTCGGTGTTGGAGAAACACTGTGTGTCTTTGTTGGTCATGTAAATACAGTCTCCACACGCCGTCCAGCATTCAGCAGCTATGTTTAAAATAATGATAAGTGATTATATCGTACTTACACAAAGTTTCATAATTGCTCCACGTCTATGATTACTATGATTTGGACCCTATTTTAAAAAGCGCAGGAGTCCGAGACAGAGAGAGAGGAAAATCACAGCCGCTCAGACTCTCTCAGCTATTTTTCTTGTGAAGGCAATTAAACGTGTTGACAAGCTGTTTTATGATTCCTCCACTCTTTCAGAGGATGTTTTAAGCTCATGTAAGTGGAAAAACAGAAAATAAAAACTCTCATTCATGAACTCTCATTCATTTAAAGCAGAGATGACAAAATTGGTTGTTTGATTTGGCAGTCCATGTCATATAAAAAATACAAAAAAATAGGGAGAAAAAAAACATGACATTGAAGCATATCTTCGATTCTTATTCTTACCAATATTTTTAACTTTAATTTTTTTTAAATGTAAAAAAAACATGTGTGTGTGTGTGTGTATATATATATATATATGTATAAAGTTATAGTTAAATGTTAAAAATATAGTACATTTATATAAATATTATAAATTAATATAATATTGTTGAATATAATACATTTACTTGTCTTATTTTTTGTTTTATTTTTGCATTGAAATGTAAAAAACAATGTATGTGAATTTCATACAAAATAATTTAAACATTAAAAAATTATTACATATTATGTTTAATTATTTCAAAATGTTAAAATGTAGTACATTTATATCAATATTATAAATTAGTATAGTATAGTTGAATGTGATGAATAAAAGCAGTCTAATTAAATGCCATGAAAGCATATCTTTATTTCTAATTGATATTTTTGTTTTAAAATTTTTTTTTTTGCATTGAAATGTAAAAAAACAACGTGAATTAAAAAAATAAATTTAAAATTAAAAAAAATAATTTAAACATTAAAAAAGCTATTCTTTTTTGTGTGCTTATTTAAAAAATGTTAGAAAATTAATTAATTTTAATATTTTAATAATTGGATGTAATGCAACATTTATTTTAGGCCCACACCCCTCAATCAAGTTTGATTGATTGATATTAAAAAGTAAAACCTAAAATTAATAATTTTGTCATCATTTACTCATGTTCCAAACCTGTAGACTGACCTTCTGCTGTGAAACACAAAAGAAATTGTGCTCAATGTTCACGCTGCTTTTTTCCATGCAGTAGAAGCATATAGAGATCTGTCAGGATCCATGAAGGACAAAGAACCCCAGACTACTTTTATATTAGTTGTTTCTTGTCTGTGTTGGATCCCAGCATGCAGCGGTCATTGTAAAGAGCTGCGTGAAGCAGTAAAAACACCAGCGGACGAGCCTGACGAGTGAGTGAGTGAATGATGACAACGGCTTTACATTTGCTCCAGCAGCTCGGTGGGAAAATGCAAAGCGTTCCAGCTGCGGTCGGGACGGGATCGTTTCCCGTGTTTTTCCGTTTAGTTCATCCAGTCAAACAGTAACTTGAGTCTCTGCTGTTTGTCATTGATTATACATGCAGAGGTTGTGAAGGCCAGAGGAGATTTGAAACCAAATGTTTCCCTCTTCTGAAGAGACCCGACCCGTGTTTATCTGCTAATCCTCCCTTCACTCTCTCTCTCTGTCTGTCTGTCTGTGTCTCTCTCTCTGAAAACGAGAACGCAACTGCAAAAACAAAAGCGTTTCCTCAGTAATAAATGTGTTTGTTGAGGGCGAAACGGCATCTGTTTGCTTTAATAAACGCAGAGTTTCATATTCATTTTGATTAGGTCATGAAAATGAAATGGCCAGGGCTTGTGGAGATATGGAGCAGATTGAATCAAACGTCGTTAATGATAATCAGGAATCTAATTACCCGTTTGATTTTAGCGTATAAATGATGAGCGAGTGTTAATCAGAGTATTGATCGGAGGCTCAGAGGAACCGTCCATCCGTCTGTGTGCGTCTGATGCTTCTTAGACTTCAGAAATGTTTCTTCAGTTTTACAAGCTTCGTTTCAATGCATCATGGGAAGATTTATAATTATTGTGTATAATAATTATTATATAACATTATATGTTTATTGAATTATTGTAGTGTAGACGCAGCGGTAATACCGTAGTACAGTGATGGTATATCATGGTACTTTAGTATGTAGAATGGTATGGATTGATTACAATATTCATATACTTCAAGTTCGGAATAATTAAACATTTTTATATTTTTGAAAGAAGTCTCTTGGGCTCACTAAGACTGTTTATTTGATTAAAATTGCATTAAAAACAGTAAAATTGTGAAATATTATTACAATTTAAAATAGCTGTTTTCTGTGTGAATATCTGTTAAACTGTAATTTATTTCTGTGATGCGCAGCTGTATTTTCAGCATCATTACTCCAGTCTTCAGTGTCACATGATCTTCAGAAATCATTCTAATATGCAGCTTAAGAAACATTTCTGATTATTATCAATGTTGAAAACTGCAGTTTTTAGACTTCAGAAATGTTTCTTTGTCTTTCTTTGTAATATTAGTATTTAAAAAAAAAATCTATATTTTTTTAATAAGACAATTAATGTAGGATTATTTTGCATTGTGGCAATTAAACACATTTCCCGCAAAATGATCTTGATAATATTAATTTTTGCATTTTAATACATATTTAATAAATTGTAATTATTACTTTAGTTGTTTTAAGCATTTTTTTTAATATATATTTTTGTATAAATTATATTAACTGATTTTGCTACTCAATAAATATGTCTTATTATTAAAATTTAAAACAGTTGTTTTTAGACTTTAGCAATGTTTCTTCATAAGTTTTATTTTATATTTATATTTATATATTAGTGCTGTCAAATGATTAATTGCGATTAATTGCATCCAAAATAAAAGTTTTTGTTTACATAATATATGTGTGTATACTGTGTATATTTATTATGTATATATAAATACAAACACATGCATGTATATATTTATGAAAAATATGTTATGTTTATATATTAAATATATTTATATATAATATAAAATATAAGAATATAAATGTATATACGTGTAAATATTTTCAAAATATATACTGTATGTGTGTATTTATATATACATAATAAATATACACAGAACACACACACATATATTATGTAAACCAACTTTTATTTTGGATGGGATTAATCGCGATTAATTGTTTGGCAGCACTAATATTTATAAAGAAAAACCTTACTTTTAAAATTGCTTACATCGAGATGATAATTTTTTTTTAATTGTATTAATTGTATTGATTAATTGATTTGTTTGTTTTTTTCCCTTGTATTTTATTTGTTCTATTTCTAATAGATTGTAGCACTTTGGGTACTAGAAAAGCGCATTATAATAAAATGTATTATTATTAAAGTAATATAAGATTATTTAGCATTGTGACAATTAATCACATTTCCCCCCCAAATTATTATTAGTGTAACTATATTTATTAAATATAAATAAAATAAGTTATAGTGCATTTTAAATAATAAGTTAAATAAGTGATTATAATAAATTAAAGAAAAATTTATAATGCATTAAATTATTTTTATAATTTTTTTTGGCATTTAAACTGTTTTGTAGGTATTTTTAAATATATATTTTATGTATAAATTATATTAGCTGCTCAAGAAACATTTGAAAACAGCTACTTTTAGACTTCTCTCATCAGTTTTATAAGATTAAGGTTCTGGTTTATAAGGTCTGGCTCTGGTCTGCGTCCTAAAGCGTGTGTTGGTCGAGTTGTTAACTGAGCTTTCAGGAACGGCTGTGATCTCAGATATTGAAGTCATTTCTCTGCCATTTGAATCTTCCTATCTTCCCGGTGAAATGCATTGTGGAGCATTAGTCCTGCGCAGATTGATGGCCAGTTTGCGAGGAATATAAAACCCATAACGTTATAGATTTAGGCTCACTTCCCCCGATTGATTTTTTCCCCTTTCTCCAGCTAAAAGGGTGAAACCACTTATGTGCATGCTAATGACGGCTTCAGCGGCCGTTTAGCAGAAATCCACATTATCTGAAAGCTCACATTATTGCAGATATCATTGGACGTGAATTACACTTGATACGTGAACTCAGCTCGTCCAGCAGGAGCCCGGGTTCATGCCGTTAGGAAGCATTTATGGGACGTTTCCTCTGCGCTAATGGCATCTTCCAGTCCGAGTTAGAAAGCTATTTGCTTTTTGAGTTGGCGAAGTGCTCAAATTGTATTTCGGCTGCAGTGCAGATTAAATTTGAAGCGTTTTTCTCTATAGTTTTAACCTTTGGCGCTGTAGCTGTGAATCGTGCGCTTGATCGCTCGTCCGCTCCGTTTGTGTCTTGCTTTGTTATGATGTTGCTTTTCAGGGCTTTGCTTACTTAACGCACAGACGGATGACATTTTCTTGACATATCGATCTGCAGAAAGGGCACGACAAGCACAAGGCCAAACGCCGGCTTTTTCTTCCAGAAACTGGATCCCGTGCAAATTTTTGCAGCATGAAACCTAATACTTGCCGCGATGCCCTCACCTTTATACTTTATATGAAGAGACAGAAAACACTAAAACAAAACACAGTGGTTTTCTTTGAGTAGCATGTAAATAACATGGTAAATGACTTTGGACATCATTCAGTGTGTATCAGAGTACACCAGCAGAATATGGTGTTATTTTAATGACAAATGTCGAGAGCGCATTATTGTAGCGCGAAAGCACATTAATACAATGCGCAGCGCGGGTTTCCCTTGCTCTCGCGCAAAACCGGACGCTCGCGCTCAGATACACGCTGCTCTCGCCCGGAGACGCTCTCGACATTTGTCATTAAAATAACGCCATAGCAGAATATATTCAGTATATTTAGTATATACAGTTTAATCTGTTGAGTTTGAATTGAATTGGGCATCCGTTTTGCTGGTCTAAGCTGGTTTGGTTGCCTAGTCTGGTTTATTTTTGGGTTTGGGATTTGTATCAAGCCTGTGTAAACCAAACCAAACCCCCAGACTCTGTGACTCTTGTCAGTTTAGACTAGACAGTCTATGGTGGTTTTGTCACCCAGTCTGGTGTGTTTAGCTGGTTTCTGAAGGGTTTTTTGGTCTTGTGTCAAGCCTGGGAGACCGTCTTAAACCAGCTAAGACCAGCTTAGATTTATATCTATGCTTTTGTGACAGTATTTTCATGACATTTAGGCACATTTCCCTCCAAATTCTCATTAGTGTAGTGCAAAAAAACACAATGGATTATTTTTTTATTATGTTTTGTAAGTATTGAATCACAATACTTTAACACGTATTTAGTATTGTGTAGTATTTTAGTATTTAACAATCAAAAAAGATAGTTTTTTGTATTGCATTTATTTATTTGTTTATTTATATATTTATTTAAACAATTCAGTGAATTAAATAACAAAAACAAAAGCTGAATTTAAGCTGTTTAGTTGACATGGAAGTGTAATAAGGTTTCATTGTGTTTATGTAAAATATAAATTTATTTTTTATGTATTGTTGTAATGTGACCTGAACATGCAAAGTGGTATTATATTTTTGCATTGTGACATTATTTACATGACTTCCTCCCAATTTCTCATTAGTGTAATACAAAAATAATAATAATTAAATAAATTATTTGTTTATTGTTTTGTTAGTATTTATACATAATTTTAGTTTATATTGGACTTGCAAAAATAAAAAAAATTAATATATGAATTAAATTTATATTTTTGTATTGTGACATTATTTTCATGGCAGTTTCCTTTTCTCATTAGTGTAATGCAAAACAACCAACCAAATAAATAAATAATAATAATAATACATTTTGTATTGTTTTGTATTTATACATTCTCTAATTTTCATTTACATTTTTTTTGTAAATAAATAAATAATTTAAATTATTACATTATTTAAATTTAAAAAAATGAGCGGTTTAATTGACATGGAAATAATTTCATAGTGGTCCTCTATCTGTTTTCATTATGTTTATGTAAAATTTAATTTCTTTCTTTTTTATCTTTAATTTTGGGCTGTAATGTGACTTGAATGTGTTTGTGAGATTCATAGGTTCATTTCAGGCAGACACACAGCAGACGGGTCAAAGGTCACGAGTTCCTCGCAGCACAGCATCTGTGTATTTCTCTGCCTCGTCTGATCACAAGCACATAAATGCTCCATCCATCAGCACATTGATTTCCCTGTCCATCAACGTATCTACCTGTCAGCCTCTCCCATCTGAGGCTTCATTGTCTGACCGTTTTCTACATCCGAATGTGTCTTCGGCATAGAGCTGCACGATTAATCGTTAAAAGACTGCGATCTCGATTCAAACACCCATGCGATCCCATTTTTAAATGACAACGATTTGCTTGTGTCTATTAAACCTTTGAAAAAATCATACTGGTACAGATCTGTGTTCGCGCTGCCGCTGACAGAGAGAGCAGTTAGCATGTTTAGGTAAGAAACAGTCTTTTCAACTACACAGCATTATTTCTGTCCTACAGTCATTCACAGTCATCACAGAAATACTGGGGTGAAAGTTTATAGTTCAGATATAAACACTGATGTCTTTGGAAGCGATCAAAATAGAGCAAATCATCTTTTGAAAGTAACTTGCGCTTCAAATAACGTTTGTCGAAGCATCGTTTCTCCACTAGGTGGCGACAAGTGACTGTAAAAAATGTATTTGTCATTGAATCATTCATTCAAGAGATTCGTTCAAAAACGCAGATTCATCTAGTAATGAAACAAGTGAAGTATTTGTGAGTCATTGAATCATTCATGCAAACCACTTAATATTAAAAATGGGTGTATTAAACATATTATATTTTAAAAACATATTAAATAGTGTTGTCAAACGATTAATCGTGATTAATCGCATGCAAAATAAAAGTTTTTGTTTACACAATATATGTACGTGTACTGTGTATATTTATTACGTATATATAAATACACACACATACAGTATATATTTAGAATATATTTACATGTATATGCATTTATATATTTTGTATTCTTATATTTTATATTATATATCAATATATAAACAACATTTTTCTTAAATATATACTGTATGTGTGTGTATTTATATATACATAATAAATATACACAGTACACTAATATTAAAATGTTTAATAATTCATTCAAAATAGTCTGCAGCAATAATATTTTGTCACACATTTTGTTCGGAGAATCGTGATCTCTGTTTGATCTGATCTCAATTTATCCAGACTCGTGCAGCTCTACTTCGGCGTTTTTCCATCCATGCAATTTCACTCAACTTCCTCCTTCAGTAAAAAATGCAGGAAAGAAAGCAGCAGCACCGAAGCGTTTGATGGAAATGCAGCCCTGCAGCGCTCTTGATATGCAGATACGCTGGAGTCTCCGGCACCGTCGGGCTCCTGGAGTCAGTGTGGGTGTGATTTAGTGCCTTAGCTCATGCTACATTAGCGGGCGGCTATGCTCTAATAGCGTCCAGCTCTCAGAGTGCAGCTGATTCCTCGTGTCCGTGTGTCAGATGGGAAGATGCAAGTGCTTTTGACTCATTGACTCCAGGACTGTTTATCAGCTTAAAACCATCCGTCCCGCTGGCTCGTTAGTCCTAATGAAGCACTAAAACGCAGCTGACTGATAGCAGCGTTCGCTTGCGTGTTGTTTGTCTGCAGGAAGAGTCCAGGAAAGGCTAAAAGTGACACCAAATGGAGAAGAATCATCCGCGGCTGCCCTCATTGCTCATGTCTTTGTTGGCTTGTTTGAATTTGTTCAGTCCGATTGTGTTGAATTTGATTTCCATCCCTCACCCTCCATCCCTCCCTTTCTCCCGAAGGTTCCTTATATCAGAAGTCCTCCGAACCCACAGACAAGAGCAATGCTCTGCCACATCCATGTGAGTCCTTCATTTCATTGATTTCTGTTTGCATGCGTCTCCAAACCTTCCTCAGTTCCTCCTTATACTTTTTCTCTCTTCATACCATCTAATTTTCCTTCTTAAGAGTCTGAAAAAACAGCTTAAACTAGTCTAAGATTGTCTAAACTAGTCTCAGCTGGTCTAAACGGGCTTAGACGGTCTCCCAAGCTTGATTCAAGCCCAAAACCCTTCTAAAACCAGCAAAACAGACCAGACTGGGTGACCAAGTCATCGTAGACTAGACAGTTTAAGGAGGTCAAATGAACTCCTAGGCTTGATGCAAGCAAAACAGACCGGACTAGACCGTCTAAGGTGGTTTGGTCACATAGTCTGTTCTTTTTTGCTGGTTTTAAAGTGGTTTTGGGCTTGCATCAAGCCCGGGAGACCATCTAAACCAGCTGAGACCAGTAAAACATACCAGAAAATGTGCTTTACCAATACCATACCAAAAATGTGACCAAAACTGGACAGTCTAAGGTTGTTTGACAGTCTGATCTAGATTAGATGGTCACCTAGGCTTAAAACCAGAAAATAGACCAGATTGGGTGACTAAACAGACTAGAATACATGTCTAAGCTGGTCTGAAGTGGCTTAGACGGTCTCCAAAACTTAATTCAAGCCCAAAACCCTTCTAAAATCAGCAAAACAGACCAGACTGAGTGACCAAACCATTTTAGACAAGACAGTTTTAGGTTAGATGGACTCCTTGGCTTGATACAAGCACAACAGACCGGACTAGACAGTCTAAGGTGGTTTGGTCACCTAATCTGGTCTGTTTTGCTCGGTTTAAAAAGGTTTTTGAGGTTTTATCTAAGCCTGGGTGACCATTTAAACCAGCTTAGACCAACTGAGACCAGCAAAACAGACCAGAATACATGTTTAAGCTGGTCTGAACTGTCTTAGATGGTCTCCCAAGCTTAATACAAGCCCAAAACCCTTCTAAAACCAGCAAAACAGACCTGACTGGGTGATCAAGTCATCGTGGATTAGACAGTTTAAGGTGGTTAGATGGACTCCTTGGCTTGATGCAAGTAAAACAGACCAGATTAGACAGTCTAAGGCGGTTTGGTCACATAGTCTGGTCTGTTTTGCTGATTTTAGAAGGGTCTTGGGCTTGTATCTAAGCTTGGGTGACCATTTAAACCAGCTTAGAACAGCTGAGACCAGCTAATCATACCAGAAAATGTGTCCAAAACTAGACAGTCTAAGGTGATTTGACAGTCTTATCTAGATTAGATGGTCACCTAGGCTTAAAACCAGAAAACAGACCAGACTGGGTGACCAAACAAACTAGCTCTCAGCTTAGACAAGTAAAACAGACCAGAATACATGACCAAAACTCTGTACACTAGGGAGTCTTAGGTGGTTTGCTGGTCTAAGCTGGATTAGATGGCCACCGAGGCTTAACCCCTTCTAAAACCACAAAACAGACCAAATCACTGTAAACTAGAACTAATATGGTTTGCCGGTCGAAAGTTGCTTAGATTGACTCCTAGGCTTGATACAAGCAAAACAGTCCAGACTATGTAAGCAAACCGCCTTAGACTGTCTAGTCTGGTCTGTTTTGCTAGTTTTAGAAAGGTTTTGGGCTTGTAGTGAGCCTGGGAGACAATCTAAACCAGCTCAGACCAGCTGAGACCAGTAAAACAGACCAGAATATGTGACCAAAACTCTGTACACTAGACAGTCTAAGGAGGTTTGACAGTCTGATCTGGATTATATGGTCACCTAGGCTTATAACCAGAAAGCAAAACAGACCAGACTAGACAGTCTAAGGTGGATTGGTCACCTATAGTAGGGTCTGTTTTGCTGGTTTGTCAAAGCCCAAAACCCTTCTAAAACCAGCAAGCAATAGGTAACCAAACCACCTTAGACTGTATAGTCTGGTCTATTTTGCTTGTATCAAACCTAGAAGTCCATCTAAGCCTGCTTAGGCCAGCACACCACATTAGACTGTCTAGTCTACAATCATTTGGTCACCCAGTCTGGTCTGCTTAGCTGGTTTAGAGGGGATTTAGGCTTGCATCAAGCCTGGGAGACCATTTAAACCAACTTAGACCAGCTGAGACCAGAAAAGGTGACCAAAACACCTTAGACTTTCCAGGTTTGCTCACACGGTCTGATCTGTTTAGCTGGTTTTAGAAGGAGGACGCAAACCCACTTAGTCTAGTGTAATGTAGTTTTCTCATCCATTCTCTTTAGATGCTTTTAGAGGCGTTTTGTACTTGTCTCAAGCCCGGGATAAAAGCTTAGACCAGTAAACCACTTTAGACTGTCTAGTGTAAGGTGGTTTGTTCTGTTTAGCTGGTTTTAGACAGTTTTTGTGCTTGTATCAAGCCTGGGAGAATAGCTTAGACCAGATAAGCTCAGAAAACCGCCTTAGACTAGTTTAAGCTGCACACAGCTGTTTAGTTACAATATTAACCCTTCATACCACACATTTAAAGTGATAATCCACCCAAAAATGAAATTCTGTCATTATTTTCTCACCCCCGTGTCATTCCAAACACAAACGTCTCAGTGTTTTTGTTCATGCAATGAAAGTCAGTCATCTTCAAAATATGTTTCCTTTATAAAGTTATACAGGTCTAAAGGAATGTTTGAAACAAAAATGTTCATTTCTGAGTGATCTGTTGCTTCGAAGTACGGAAATAGACAATATAGAGGGTAAATAAGGTGAAGTAAATGGAAAAATTGAAAGAACCAAATTAGGTTAAAGCTCGATTTGCTGGTAATGTTAATGAAATGAACTCTGGAGCTGTGTGTGTGTGTGTGTGTGTGTGTGTGTGTGTGTGTGTATACTTGTTTATGCTACATTGTGGGGACCAAATGTCCCCACAAGGATAGTAAAACCTGAAATTTTTGACTTTGTGGGGACCGGCCTGTGGTCCCCACGAGGGGAAAAAATTATTAAAAATAGTAAATGATGTTTATCTGAAAGTGTAACCATGCAAACAGGTTTTCTGTAAGGGGTCGGTTTAGGGTTAGGGGATAAAAAATATTGTTTGGTCAGTATAAAATTAATAGAAGTCTATGGAAAGTCCCCACAATTCACAGAAACAAAAGTGTGTGTGTGTGTGTGTGTGTGTGTTTGTGCGTGTGTGTGAGAGAGAGAGAGAGTGTGTGTGTGTGTGTGTGAGAGAGAGAGAGAGAGAGAGTGTGTGTGTATCCATTACATTTTATATATATTTGTGTGTGTGTGTGTGTGTGTGTGTGTGTGTGTGTGTGTGTATATATACTTGTTTATGCTACATTGTGAGGAACAAAATGTCCCCACGAGGATAGTAAAACCTGAAATTTTTTGACATTGTGGGGGGCCTTTCTGTAAGGGGTAGGTTTAGGGTTAGGGGATAGAAAATATCTGTGAGTATAAAGTATAAGTATAAAGTCAGTATAAAAGTAATAGAAGTCTATTGAAAGACTTTTCTTTTCCACAATTCACAGAAACAAATGTGTGTGAGAGAGTGTGTGTGTGTGTGTGTGTGTGTGT